TACATTTCGTCGCTTGGCTGACAAAAAGGCGTAACTACATTAGAGATGAGCTTGGGAAAGCATTGAGTCATATGGACTCGAGGGTTCATGGCGAAGTGTGGTAATGTCTGGAGGGTGACGATTTACTATGCCTTTATATCTGTTTCTACCGCATCTATTCTTAGTGATCTTTTATTAACTATCTCGCTTTTCTCGGGGCAGAAAGGATATTATTTTTCCGTTTTACTATAATTGTTTCAAGTTTCTCCCTTTTCCTCTTGCGGATAATGAATGATTACATTTGAATGCTGATTATCCGCGGTCGGATTATCTGCGAACAGTCAAAGGTCGTAACTTGTCCTGATTTTTGCTTTGTGTCTCTGCATGCGGGGTCCGCACGTTGCGCCTCGAAAATTCGATTCATCTCTTAAAAATAATCTCGGAAAATAGTTATCATTGACGGCACACTAAATTCATGTTAAAACACTCGTACCCTCTTTTTCGACACCTTATCGATAATTTGTCGATTGGCAATTAACGGAGACTTATTCCACCGACCGTACTCCCACTCATTGAAGGCACCGGTGCGAGAGAAAATTGAATTATAATTAAAATTGAATTTGAACGCGTATAATGGAGAATACCGAGCCTCTCAAATAAATCGTCATTTCCCAGACAAAGAAACTTAACTAATTCCAAGGTTGCAAAGTGACTCAAAACCTCCAATTATTTGCGAGAATATGTGGGTAATATTATTGTCTATAATATACTTTTCCTCAATTTTGCTGATTTTTCGTAAGGTCAGCGGAAAAATCAATGAACTTTTAAATTAAATGGACTGCATTTTGCAATTTGGAACTATAAAGTCTGGCTCTCATGGAAAAACACTTATGTGCACAGGGAAACTAATGGAACTACGTTGTTTTTAAACAGGGCTAGAATTTATAGTTCTAAATTGCAAAATGTAGTCCAATTGTTTCCTAGAAAAATACAATTTGAGAAAAGACTGTACTGAATGTGCCCTTACAAATTCCCACCATCTGAATTCAGTCTTTCTCAAATATATAAAAAAAAGGATGAAAAAAGTAATAAAGTCCCTCCTTATTTGCATTTATGAGTCGTTATCTTCACACCGGGGACTTCCGGGCAATCTCCGCCTAGCCCACTCCTAAATCCGCTTTGAACTTCGTCATTCAATGCAATGCATGCGCGCGCGCTGGAAGAACCGCAACAGACACATTAAGATATGAAATACGCGCAAACGTTGCGAAATCGGAAATATTTCGCATAGGCACACGTGCAATCTTCTAGGAAACAATTATATTAAGAGGGGGTTACTTTGTTAATCACTTCAATTTGTTTGCTCGACGGATATTTTCTACTCGCCCTCATTAGACATGCCTATCTTTGTTTTGTTCGCTTCTCTGCCTCACTAGGTCATTTCTTGGGGAGCTCGTGGCTATCTATTTCGTAAGGTAGGTCTTGGGGTCCAAGGAGAAATCCGGTGAGGCTTTTGCACAAAAAGGTTAAACGAACTGACAAAGTGCAACACCGAATAAGTGTTGCACCAGCGTGCTTGTCAACGGAAACAATGACTTTATAAAAATCACAGGGCCAAGAGCTCATTCAACCTGAAGAAAAAAAATAGCAAAAATGATGCAAACAACGGAATCCGCATAATTTTTTAATGTTTCCTCCAATTAATACTTGCAGAGGATGCAAAAAAAAGAAACTCCCGTAAAAATATTTTCTAAGGATCTTTATTGTTTTTTTTCTTCGAATTCTTGACATGCGCTTTCAGCCCTTTTAACACTTCGCAAGGTTTCATAAGCTTGTTCATAAGTTGTAACATTTACAGGAAACATGCGGTCAGAGTATCCAGGACTAATAATTAGTTTGGTATCCCGACCTACGCATAATTCTCGTTGGTTGTTGCACCTTGATGCAAATATTCGTGTTCCACGGATGTGCGTGGTGCATGTTCGAGAATTGAAGTTACTCCCGCGCATCTCTCCTCTTCAGGAATGCTCGGGAGTTTTCGTTAGTTGAAGCACCCGAATAACAGCAGAATACCTCGGTAGGGAAATTATTGTCTCCTCAATCCTTTTTCTGCAATAAAGGTACCGCTCTCTGATTGGTCCACAAAATAAAACTTTCATGAAACCTCGTAAATGCTTATTTAAACCTCCTAAGCCCTTGCCATGGAGCTTGGACTGAACTTTACAAACAGGGCGTAACACTTTTAACACCGTCAACTTCTTAAGTCTCAATTAATTGTGGCAGGGCCGGATTTACTTACTTGCCGCCCATGGGCCGCCTGTATTTTGCCGCCCCCTTTTCATTCGTTTTGAAACACCAATAAAAACCATCAGGTGAACGTGCCAGAGGGGGAGGGGTGAATAAGACGCGTTTAGATCGTGTTGGTCACATTTTTTGCGAAAGCCCTGTCAACACTAAACTAGCAAAAGTTCACGGAACATGGCGCGAAAGTTAAGTTCCGTAAACCTATCTCTGTATGGACAAGGCCTTCCATTTACAAGAAATGAACCAAAAAATTATGAAAGAACAAACATAAATGTGGTTTAATAATTTTAACCTCCACCGCCGCGCCGCGCTGACCGCACTGTGTTTGGCGCAATGCGTGAAGTATTCATGCAGTCTTGTAGGCGCTATGCGTTTCACGCTGCCCGCTGCTGACCGTAGCGACCGCAGCGACCGCATTGTCTTTGGCGCAATGCGTGAAGTATTCATGCAGTCTTGTAGGCGCTAAAATGTGTTACATACCGACCGCCGCGCCGAGAGTTTCTCCTTTTCATCCCACGTTCTCGTCATCATTGCTCTCTGCGCCGCGCCGTTCTAGGCCGAATTCCGTGTTCGGTTTCTCTCTAAGTCTTAACTCGACTAATTAAAGGTGCTGTCTATTGTATCACAGAAGGACGACAAAATTAGAGATATACTCTTAGGAAATGAGAGATTTTGTCACCTTTTCTCGTTCGTAATGTTTTTTTTTTTTTTCGGAATCCGATTTTTCTTTATGGCTTCATTTAAAAAAATTGCAAAATTTGCCACCCCCTTAATCCGGCCCTGGGGGATGTGATTTTTTCCCTGCTGCATGTCCACTCAATGTTTCTAGAAATTATCTTTTGTATATACAGTTGTTCATTTAAAGAGCCGCAAATGCCTAACCCATATAGCACGTCATTTTTATAGTAAAAACTTTCCCCGGGGAAAATTTGAACAAAAAAACGCACCAAAGAACCCATTTACATGCAATCCATCAGAAAAAAGAAAAAGAAATGGTGTGAAATGATCATAAACAGGGAAAATAAGCATCCACGTGCATGTTTTTCTAGCCTTTCTCCGGAACTCTGTTTAATTTGTCAATTTTTTCTCGCCGGGAATTCCGTTTTTTAGGAGAGAGCAACGCTTTGCAATTTTTACTTTTTTGCTTTCATGACGCTTTGTTAGTGGTAAACTAGTCGCGCACGTAAACTGGTCGGCGGATTTTGTCTCTTGTCAAAGTTTGTGTGATTCATAACAAAGAAAAAATTATGTAAAAAATTATTATTTTTTAACCCTCGTTCACGTATTACATAACGGAACTTATTTCGTTTTTGTAACTCTCCTCCTTACAATGCACATTTAAATGAAATTGAGATCTTTCGCCTGTGAAGTTTACGTAACCGTTTACGGCCTCCCCATTTTCATCGATTCAAGAATCTTTTACTCTCCTGGAAAACTGCACCGACTTTTTACTCGGATCTTCCGACAATCCGGATCAAATTGATACCGAATTTTCCATGACGCTCCCCCAATTTTTTCCCCTCCTTTTTTTGGGACTCTGCTCAACATTTTCTACGTTTTCCCGACCAGGATTCCTACAAGTTACAGAGTAANGGGGGGGGGGGGGGGTACCGCATCATTTTCTGAATTCACCCGGTCTTTCTCCTAACTATATCAGCTAAGCTTTTCAGACATTGATAATTATTATGTATTTGATGATCATGAAGAATTCTGCCGGCAATATTGCCACTCGACAAAAATCAACGGACCTAAACTTTTCAGGGATTTTTCCCGTCCCTAACATTTAAAGTATAAATGCAAACAAAACATTAAATTGATATTTTCGAATTTGACTGAAAAAGCTTTTTTAATCTTTACTTGACGAAAAAATCGTGTTGACCTAGTCGTTTTTAGTGACGAACTTGTGAAGGGATGGTGCTGGGTCCACACCATTTCGCGGAGGAAACAAAGCCAAGAAGTTCCAAAAATTAGAAGTAGAGTCAAAAATATTTTGTTTTAATTCTAATAAAAAAAAACTCTAAAAAATATTGACTCTAATTCTAATTTTTGGAACTTCTTGGCTTTGCTTTCCCCGCGAAATGGTGTGGACCCAGCACCATTGGTCCCTGGAATTTTCAAACTTGAGCCATTAAATAGAACTGGCAACGGAGCATAGAGTTGTGTTCTACAAACGTTTTATGCAAGCTTTCAGAATTTCTTTCGGACTTTCGAGGCGAATTCCCGAGATTGCACCTGACTTCCGGTCATTTGTTCAAAACCTTGACTTCATTCGGACTCTCTGGCTTTCCCGGAATAGACACTCAGCTCGAAATTCCAAAGAAGAACTTTGAGAATTTCCATTGTGGAATAAAATGAAGTTCTCATCAAATAGTTCGTAGAGGAGCGCCGAGTACGTGCATTGTGTCTTGGCTCGGGATGCGCCTGTGCGGCCGGGAGCGGCACGTCGCGCGCGCTGCCAGACCCAGTGCAACCTTCCCCGCATCACCCCGAGCCCGGTGCCAAGAACAAGAACGGCGGCCCGGGAAACCGTCGGCCTGCTCCTCCACGTGGTCCCGCGGTTGTAAGCGTACACTCGTTGATTCATGTGCATGAACTCTCCTCGTGGAGGGGACGCTCGGCTCTTTCCGCCGCCGCTCGGGAGCCGCGCAGCCAATGAGCGTCGACGAGGCGGCCTCGCGTTCTGACAGCCCTCCGCGGCCTGAACCCAATCGGACCATTGTTGAGGTACCAAATCCAGCGGTCCTAACCGTCCATTCCTAAATTTGGTCATTCTCTCTTATCAGAAATTAATTCGGGTAGCTTTTTCTAAGATTTAGTACAATTTTCCGTGCCTGTGAAATATCTAGAGACTGTTGTTTTTCTAGTGTTGTGTATCCGTGCTCGAATTTCGGGTTTTAAGTATTTTTTTACTTAGCGTTCTTCTTTTCGGCAGAGTCCAATTTCGTCGTGGCCTAGGTCAAGCTCCTGCGATGATTCCAGAACTCTCTTAAGACTGATGATTCCTTTACTAAAGGTAAGGTGTTTCTCTCAACCCACTCAATTTCCCGCTTATTTCTCTCCAAATCTCCAACACCCCCATTTTTCTTTCCAATTTTGCTTATAATTTTCTTTATTTACCAAAGTACTTACTCATACGTTGACAGTTTCGGACTTATTTTATCCGACTATCTCCTCAAAAAGCCCGTTTTTTTCGCGTAATTATTAACAAACCACCTTTTTAATCCATGATATAAATCTGTGCGAACAATATGACTAGGTATATCACCTCCTACTCTCCCCTCCCGCCCACCCCAGCTCTCCCAAATATTTTCGTGGTGACAAGATTTGCATTTGAAGAGCTGTTTTTCCGCGATTTCCTCGGCTGTCAAAGCGTTCAAGTGTTGAGTTTCAGCTTGGGATGAGGATCTCTGTCTAGACGTGTCGCGGAAGGATCCAGAGCGAGATGCGCTGATTCGGAGAAAAATTTCTCCCGTCAGCCATCTTGCTGCTTGCGCGAAATCGCGATGAGCTGAGAGATCGTGGTTGCAGAAAATACGCAATTTTAAGCTCGCAGATTCCTTCATTTCTTTGTATTTGATATTTTTAGTATCGTCAGAAAGTTCAAATTTCGAGGAACATATTGTAATGTTTGCGATCAGGCATCTTTTCTTTCACACCCCAGATGGAGGAAGAAAAGTCACCCAGAGTAAGCGGGTCGTTGCCCTGCCCAGGAACGAAATATGATTCAGATTGTTCAAGAGCTTCTCAACTGAACACTGAACACTCTTCGTACTTTTCTCAACTCATTTTTAGCATATATTTTTCATGAAAAGGAAGTTTTCTCTAGATGGGCGAAAAGTTGAGAGATCTGATCCTATAGTCTTAAAGGGACAAAGGAGACCACTGTAAGAGGTTAATAGATCGTTTTTGGCCAGTAGGTACCCAAATTATTGGAAAGTTGAAGTTTTTACCATCCTTTCAATCGGGAGATTTTTTAACCCCTCTAAGTTCCCAAAAGTTATTCGCTGTTATTTCTCTCAATCGATTATTAAAGAAAGTAAATAGGTGCGCATCATAGACCCGTACTCCGGCGGGTCCCAGGTCCCACCCCACTAGTTTGACTTTTTACACCGAGAAACTGAAAAAACGATACCCTAGAAACTTAATGCCTCATTCATCCTTAAATGTAGACTATTTTGCTCCTATACATATTCGCACCCCGTCATTGTCTTCTTCGTCGAAAAGTCTGTAACTGCAAGATATTTTCCAGGAAATTACTGAATCACTCGAGTGCTTTTAGAATCGCTCGTAAGGGCAAGGATTGCGCGAATTAAATGTAAAATTTTCGAAACGAGGGTAAGTTTTGATTTATAGATTATTGGCAAGTTTCTGAGGTTTTCAAGAGCTCTGTATAACCCGCGTTTGCGAATCGGAAAGGGACTTCCCAGAACTAGTACCTAGATGAATAGTAAATACGAAGTTTTATTATTTCATGGTAAATCCGCCCTAAATCTGAGGGTGGATAATTTCAATTTTAGAGCAGCTGAACCACCCACTCCGACTTTTCGGGGACTTTCTCATAGGTCGGAATGTAAAAAAAGAGACGGAAACTTTTTCGGCCTCTTCCCAAAACGGCTTAACTGCCATGTCGGAGCACCTGACCCCTAAAAGAATCGATAGATTTCCATAGGATTAAACGGGGGAAAAAACAATGTTGTTAAATTGCTGGATCCGCCAGTATTCAGCATAAACGAAAGATCTCCACCGGGAAACACTGCCGTGCTTAGTAAGAACGCCGCATGAACATCCGAGAGTTGCAAAATTTCCTTCGATAAAATTAATATTTTTGAGGAAAATGAAGAATACGTTTTATTGACATTCTCAGTAGTTTTATATCAAATTACAAACAAAATTATCTGAGAAATTTGTAGACAAATATTCCACAATTTTCCTGAAAATTTGTGATATGCTAGGGGAAATTTGGCAACGCCTGAAGGCTCTTACGGCGTTTTTCCTTAGGCAGCACAGGAGTAAAGCGATTCGCGGTGGGACTCGAGGCGGAGGAGGGAATGTTAAAAATGGGCAACAGTAGCATAGGCCGATGACTGGGTGCGTTTTTGGGGGGATCCGGGAATCCGGGATTCGGGATTCGGGATTCGGGATTCGGGAGGGAGGGAGGGCGCCAAGGCAGGAGCCACCCCGGGGTTGAGGACCTCTCGGCGTTGTTTTCGTGAGGGCGTTGACCTCGGGATGAGCAGGCCCGACCAAGGGCAGTTCTTCCCTCCCCGCGCCCTCCCTCTCTCCCTCCCTCCCTCCCTCCCTCCGGTGGCGTCCCGAGCGCTCCCCTCGGAGTCCTTCGGAGCCGGAGTCATTTTCGGGAGCCACCCGTTTCGTTTCGGCAGCGCTTTCGTTTCTTTCCCGATCCGCGCGACCCCGCTCCCTCCTCGCGCACCCCCTCTCTGACCGCGGATTCTGCGGCCTCGCCTACGGCTTGTGAAAATATATTTTTCGATTATTGGTCGTGAGCCGTAGCACGCATGGGTAGGATCGAACGCCTTTTTGCCTCCGGGGTCCATCTTTCGATATCCTTTTGCCGCGGACCTTACCGTAAAGATACGCTTTCCAGCAAAATCGACGTTGAAACCAAGGTGGCACGAAACGTAAGAAAGAAACGAGAGATTGGAAATTTCAGTGGAATATTTCACGAAATTCCACGCGGCTGTGAATTATTTCGTATTTCTCAGGGGTTAGAGTATGCAACCCGCACTCAAACACACAAAAATAGAAGAAAGTCACAATTTTTACATTTTCCGAACGCCTTTTTTACCTTCGGAGTCCATCTTTCGATATCCCTTTGCCATGGACCTTCCCGTAAAGATACGCTTTCCAGCAAAATCGACGTTGAAACGAAGGTGGCACGAAACGTAAGAAAGAAACGAAAGTTTGGTAATTTCAGTGGAATATTTCACGAAATTCCACGCGGCTGTGAATTATTTCGTATTTCTCAGGGGTTAGAGTATGCAACCCGCACTCGAACACACAAAAATAGAAGAAAGACATAATTTTTACATTTTCCGAAACATGGAAATGAACCGGTATTTTCCAATTACTTTCATGAATTTCTGGAATCTCATGACATATTTCACGTGAAATTTCAAAATTTTATTTTTTACGAAATTTTTCCATCCTGGTTGAAACCACTTACTAAAACGCGAATTTCGATTTGCGACGCCGCACAGTAGATTAAGTCAATGGAAGAGGCCGGACAACATATGGAGCTTTAAATGCTTATAGCTCCGTTTATACAAAATTTTAACGTGCTAAAAGTGGCTCTATTAGTTTCCTCGTGAAATTTTCTCTCGAGCAAAATATACACTTGAAGGGTGAAATGTGACTTAAGAGATACCAAAATTTCCAGTTTTAGTCTAAAATTTTATGTACGACCTCTCTGATTTACCGGATCCACTGTGCTGCCTTTTTTATTTCTTTAATGGGGAAAATCTGCTGCTTCGACTGATCGCTGTTCGGGGAAAACTTTCGATTCAACTTTTCTCACAATCAGACGATTATGGTAAGTTTGATGTAGTTAGGCAGGTTCTTCGTAGTTCCGTTCATTTGAAAGAAATCAAGGATAAATTGAAATTATTTTAAACAGGCAATCGTGACAAAGGAAGAAATCTGTCTGTTAATTACAAGTATTTTAATTCAAAGCTTTTACTTCTTCCGGATGCTCTGTTCATTTCATTTAATTAAGTATGACCTAAAAGAAGGAAAAAGTCCTGCGAGATTTGCACAACAAGGAAATTGAATGATTTCATCACATACAGAATTTGCACAAATTTAAACCAACTATCTTCGAAATTGTTAAGTATAAAATAAAATAAAGCAAAACAGAATTTCGTTATTTTTAAAAAAAGGGAGCAAATATCCGGAAATGCTCCTTACCCAATCAAACCGTGAGGAAGTTAGGAATTTTTTCGGTTTTAGTCCATAGGCGTCTTCTTGACGTGTCAATTTCCAGAGTCCCTTAAAAAAGGAGGAGCTTAACTACCATTGCAGTCAGATTTTTATTACGGTTTTTCATTCAAATGGAACACTAGCGTGTAGTTCTATCTGCATGACCAAATGTGGTCCGCAGCTAGATCGATCTTCGATTAGAAATACCAAACTTTCATGCCGAATATTTATTTCGCCCAGAGCCGAGCCACTCTGTAATGACGTAACAAACAGTGCCGTTTATTTAACCGACGATTGGTATAGCGAACTGAAGTATTTGGTTTTGCGAACCAAAACATACAGGATCTAGCTCCAGTGAAGTTGACCGAACTTTTCCCTCTGCGCTGTAAAAAAAAAAAAAAAAAAAAAAAAAAAAAAAAAACTCCGGCCATGGAAGCCGTACTTACGGGCCATATTTAAAGACATACCGTCCGCGTTCCGGGCTCAGAGGCCGAGAGTACCGGGCGTAGCACCTGGAGCAGTCGAGGCTACGGCTCCAGCACCCAGAACTTTCGGCCTCTGAGCCTGGAACGGACGGTATGTTTATATTATAGCCTGTAACTTGTTTTTCCGTGTGTGCTTAGACGAGCCTTGCCGACGGCATTTTGCGAACGCGCGTGCACTCGCCATTTGTAATGGTAATCAGTTGCAGTTTGCTCATTGCAAACGGGGAAGAGTTTCCCGACACAATCGGCGCGAGTGCAAGCAGACAGCCTTGTTGGAGGCTTGGGAAAAAACGGCACGTGCCGTATGCCGAATTGTCGCACTGCCACTGCAGCCAGGCGCCCTTCGGCGAAACTCAGAGCGCGGATTTTTGCCGATTTTGAGGTGACCAGGCGCAGAGCTGGTCACAGCCAAGGTTCCCATCAGGGCTAATCATTACGCGTGGTTCGATATCTGCTAAAATCCCACACGCTAAAAAATTTACCTTCTTTTGATTTCCTAGACTTTTCTAAACCGCGGTGGAAAGTTCGCGCTGACACTTCAAAAGTTTTTAAACTGCAGGGATTGTTAAAATCTCCTCCCGTCCCGCCGAGA